GCTCACAAACTCTACTGTTTAGAGTTTTTCATGATACGGCTAAGATAATATTTTATATCGGCAGAAAGAATTCTACGATATCCATTTCTTTCGTGCGCCAATAAATCCATGAATAAGTTCCACTGCATCTCCATATAATCATGTACACACAGGTTCGAGTATATATATGTAAATAGGTTCGTGCCCGTGCGTTGCTACGGGACAGCTAAACTTTTTTACTAAAAACACACGGATCGCACGATAAAATAACAATACTGTAAAAGTATATGACCGACGTTAAAGTGATATTTAATCTAAAAAGGTAAGTTCGTGAAATTTACACAGTCACAGAGAGCATGGCTTCGCAGGCTCACAAACTCTACTGTGTAGATCTTTTCGTGATGCGGCTAAGATCATTTTTTATACCGGCTGGAAGAGATTTCTGATATCCATTTCTTTCGTGCGCCAACAAATCCACGAATAAGTTCCACCACATCTCTATACAATCCTGTACACGGCGCTGGCAAGCGAATTAGCCACAACTTATGTAATTAGTTTTATAATTAGCTCATGTTTAGCCCTTCTAATTGATATATAAAAATTCAATGTGACATGGACTAAAGTTTAGTCCTGGGATCCAAACACCCCCTAACTCTCGACTCCTGTTGGCTGCTCACTTGCACCACCATGGCTATGTGTCTGCACGTATATACTATAATGCCATAACGTCTAAGATGGTCTTTATTGTCCACCCTTTGAAAATATCATAACTTTAACGTTGCTATTTGTGTATATTGTAGGATTGGGATGCTTTACACTGATCCATAAGGGTGTCCATGAGAGTCGAAATTTTTGATGTCATTATGATGTCTAAGCTTACCAATCAGACAGAGACGAACTTATTGTTAAAATATTTTCAACACTGCTTTCATATACTCCCTCTATCCCAAAATAGAATTCATTCTCGCTTGCCAAGAATTCAACTTTTTTAAACTTCGACCAATTATATATAAAAGAATATTAATATTTATAATACATAATTAGTATCATTACATAGACCATTGAATATATTTTCACAATAAACTTATTTGGAGATATAAATGTTGCACGTATTGTTTTACAAATCTAGTCAAAGTTGAGAAAGTTTGACATGCACACATCCCATAACGACTTATATTTTGGGGCAGAGAAAGTATATGGTAATGGAAGTAGTCAACTGAAAGTCGTGAGAACACAACAATACTTTCATATTATATGCTAATTGGAGTACGAAGAAACGCAGGGGAATGGATCTATATACGAATGGTGGGAATATTCGTTTAGAAAATTGCAGAAGGTTCACCAGTCTCACCATGTATAACATGCACATCTTTTATTTGGCACCACTGATGTTTTCAAGGAGCAACCACTTTTTAATTTCAGGTCTGCATGCTGAAAACACTAAAATTAAGGGCCAACCTCGTTGAGTCGTCTTGCTTGATCTTTGTCAATTGTTTCCTTCCATACATGATTATTGTTTCCTTCTATGCATGTGGCCTCAGGTGATCGATTTGTTTCCTTCAAAGTAGGCGGGGATCACAGGAATGACAGTTTCTTTTTCTATCGCGTGGGGTATCGCATGGCCAGAAGGGAAGAGTCTTGCTTGATCTTTGCCAATTGTTTTCTTCCATGCATGATTATTATTTCCTTCCATGCATGTGGCCTCAGGTGATCGATTTATTTTCTTCAAAGCAGACGAAGATCGCAGGGATGACAATTTATTTTTCTATCGCGCAGGGTATCGCATGGCCGGAAGGGAGGGGCGACAAAAAAATAAATCGTACCAAAAAAATAATTTTACTTTTAAGTCTTTCTAGTCGTAGTAGATTACCTAGCCGCAGCGGCGGTTATGTCTTATGTGGTGCGCGCGCGCGTGTATATATATATATATATATATATATATATATATATATATATATATATATATATATATATATATAGTATTTCTATATTATAACCTGGGTACTGAATATTAATTAGTACCCGAGCCTCCCACCGCGCGCCTGGCTCACCGTCCTCCGCAGACTCCGCGCGCCTACGTCAAGGGGTTTGGGGCGGCCTTCTGGCTCAGCCACCCGGCCCGGCCTTTCGATGACCGCTCCCCAACCCACTGCCCACGTTCTCTGCGGTTCAATTCCAATCAGGTCGATCCCGGCGCCGCTTCCCCGTTCTAATCTCGCACTCGAGTTGGTTTCAGCGGCCTCCGAAGCTCCCGCACGCCCCAGATCGCACGCCCCATATCGCACAACCCGCGCCTCCGCAGCTCGCACACCCCAGGTCGCCGCCGCTCTCGCAGCACGAGTAGCTCGCCGTCGCCCTTCGCCCGTCCGGCGTCCGCTCGGTTTCGCCTGGAGCCGAGCTCACCGTCGCCTTCTTCAGTCCGGCGTCCGCTCGGCTTCACCTGGAGCGCGTGGGAAGCGTGGGAAGCGGCACCGCCTTCTCTCCATCACCGGCACCTCCCTTCCGACGCCGTTTCACCTGGAGCACGTGGTCAGCGGGGGAAGCGGCGCCGTCTTCCCTCCATCGCCGGCACCTCCCTTCCGACGCCTCTCCCGCCGTTCCTCCCTCCAGCGCCGCCCGGTCGCAGAGGCAGCGCGCCCCCCGGTCGGACGTGCTCGGCTGGCCTTCTCCAGCGTCCCGCCCTGCCGTGTCGCCGCTCAGCGTTGTAAGAAGCAGTTCCTTTGCTATGCTGGCATCTCATTGTTTTCTAAAATGCAGTCAGCTGTACATTTTTAAGCTATACCATTGTGAGAAGAGTATTCAGATACATTAGTGCTTCCTTGATATGATCTTGTAAATTACAGGATAAACCAATAATTACCCCTATATCCGCCGTGCCGCCCCCCAGCGCCGTGCGGCCGTAGACGCAGCGCGCCGCCCGGCCGGGCCTTCTTGGCCGGCGTTCCCCAGCGTCCCGCCGCGTCTCCGCTCAGGGCTGTGCGGCCACAGACGCATCGCGTCTCCCGTCCTGGCGTTCTCGGCCGGCTTGCCCCTGCCACCGTACCTGCCGCGCCGCTCCCTGCGCTGTGCGTTCCCAGACTCATCGCGCCGGCCCTTGATTGCCGATTACACTCGTTGATTGCCGAGCTTGCATCATTTGGGATGGAGCCGCCTGGTCCCTCAGGTTTCCTTTATATCCTTATTCATGTATCTCGCTTTGTTGTTCCCATTAATTTTGTGTCAAATTGGTTTCACTATTAGATTCCCTGATATGGGTACTCTTTGTTAAAAGGCAAGCACATTATGGAAGTATGAAACTATACACCATGCTTTGCTGCTCGAAGTCATTGAAAACAATGTGTGTTTCAATATTAGAACTTTAGAAGATGATATTATATTCAACCTCAATCAATTACAGATATCCAGTTTTTAAGAAATAATATATTCTCCATAGTTGTGTTTAATCAGAATCACAGGTCCCTCAATTTCCATGTGAAATATTTTATTTACCATCATGAAGATGATATTATATTCAGCCTCAATCAATTACAGATATCCAGTCTTTAAGAAATAATATATTCTCCATACTTGTGTTTAATCAGAATCACAGGTCCCTCAATGTCCATGTGAAATATTTTATTTACCATCATGAACTAGTTGCTTCATTTGAAAAGAGTAACATATCATGTATTCGTAGTTCAACAAGTGCTCCCATCAGTATTCATGTGTTCAATACCTTGGAATTAATAAACACAATACAGTAAATCCACAAGAAACTGCACAGCAATACATCTACCCTGAGTTCAGACATTAGTCACAGCTGTCTACCTCCAGTGATCTTTACTAAATCAGTAAATCATCTGTCAAATGTACAGGCCCAGCTATCAAATTATGAATGTCTCTGAACGCTCTAATATCCTTTTACAGCGTGGGTTTAGGATAGAAACTCAGCCTCTTAGCCCCTTAATTGAAGAAGCTACAATGTCTCACCCCACACATTGTCTTATAGCATCTATAATTTGAACCCTTCAAATTTATTTCTGAGTACAATATATAACTGCAGTTGTAAGCATGAGGTAGAGGCACAAAAACTTCCTATCGTTACAGTCTCACAAGTTAGATGGTCAAATACATGGATATGAACTTGACAAGATATTCTACCAGCGATCTTTATGTGGCATTCTAGAAATAGCAAGCAGGCTAGGCAGCTGACTTTTGGAAGTGTTTAGCTCTCAACATCAAGGTCTTCATTTTTATCAGTGCGGTGTGCACTCAGCCCACCAGCCTGACTTGGTGCATCAGTAATCAGTTGCAAAGCATGTACCCACACCCTTTGAGACCTTAGATGCCTCTGATAAATTCAGTATTGGGTTTAGGTGCACATGTACATGGGTGGTGATGGTACAGTGTTGTGTGTTTTTGCAAGCGTGTGTATGCCTCATACTCAATTAGTGTCTTAATAAAAAGAAGACATAAGACAGATTAAACACACACATTGATTCAGCTTTGCATTGTTTTTATTTGTTCAGATCATACACGTATTTTTTATTTATGGCGTCATTATAGTTTAATAAAGCAATTCTATTTATTCTGCATTTGCAGACCCATGCTGGAAAAGGTCCTGATTCACATTGACTCAGCAGTTGCAACTACATTGTTCTGTGGAGTGAGCTTGTAAATTTAAGTTGTAGAGTATACGAATGCAGTATTCTAAATGCATTCTAAATCATTGACTTCAGAATCCGGTTGGAGCTAGTTGATAAGATGCCTGACAACCCAAAAAGGCTTGTATTTGAGAGCACTCAACAGCGGTCAGTACATGTTTTTTTTTTTTTAATTTTAGTGGCCTTTTCCATTTGTTGTATCTGCTTTTCTCTCAGTTAATGTGATAATTTCCCATTTAGGTATGAGGTCCCTTTGCCACAAGGCGAGAGGTTACCCTCCTCTCCTGGTAGAACATCTGCATCGGCTTCACGAAATAGAGGTGCAAAGGGGAATGGCTGTACTATAATTTTAATCTGTTGCAGTATGGAGTTAGTATTTTACAAATGACTAGACAAAATTAGATACATTCATTTACAGCTTATCTAATCTTGTTTATGATTTTTTATTTATATTTATATGATCTGATGTATGTACACATAATTTGAGAATAATTTAATATTCATGGATTTTAAATTTTGCTATCTTAAATTTCCATTATTCTTTTGATTCCACTTGGCTTGTCCTTTTGTTAATTAACACTTTTCATCTTGTTCTGAAAGCTCACAAGATTCTTCTATTCTTAAAATCATCTACCTTTGTTGTTTATTATTTTCCTTTCTGGTCCTTTTGGTATTCAGATGCAAGTCATCCCCTTCTAAGAACCCTGCGGTAGCTTTCTACTTCTCGTGACCACTCATAGGAGCATGAGGATCGTTAACTTAATACTACCAAAACAGCTTGAAATTGTTTTTCATTCTACCTTCAAGGTGTTTTCCACTTTTTTAAATAGTTTTACTTTACCTGTGATAATGCACCTAGTCCTATGTCTTCCCATGCATTTCTTGAAAGCTTGAAATACCCATTGAATGTTTCTATTGTCTCATCGCCTAACAGCGCACATCCAAAATATGTGTTCTGTAGGTGATGGTTTACCACCCACAAACATAGCTAGTGGCTTCTCATATATATTTGTCTTGTGCGTGGTGTCGAATGTCATCACATCTCCAAAATCAATATATTCTGCCTGCATGCTAGCGTGACTCCAGAATAAGCTATGAATCATCCCTTCTTTATCGATCTTGACATACCAACAAAATTGTGGGTTCTGCGCCTTGCAGTCTTCAAAGAATTCTAGAAGCTTCGCAATGTCATTGGCATGTTCTGCCCTCACATTAGCCGCCTTCCTGAAAAATTTGTTACTATTACACAGATGTAATCGACAGTACCTATTTACTGGATGGTATAAGAGTTGGCACACACTGACCTGTTCTCAAGATCCCGCCTGGTCATTGGCACGTTTCTCACCTCCCCATGCATGTCCCTAACAATGTTCTGTATACTATGATGCGGGACATCCGCTGCTTGGAGGTCATCAACAAACTCAAGTAATACCGGATCCTTTTCCTTGTGTGATCTCATATTTATTATTTCTTCTTTCTTTTTAAGACATGGATGGTTATGCATTAGATCCACTTGCTCAATCACCACTGATATTTCATTCTTGTTTTCATCATAAATTCTTTTAAGCTTCATCTTCGACATGCAGTGTCTTCTTTGTGGTATTGTTCCTAACACGCAGCTCCTCATTTTTTTTAAAGTAAGTATGAACCCCTCATTGCTGCACTGTATAATATATGAATATGTTTTACTGTTTCCATAGCTCAAATTGAATCCAACCTCCTCGGCGTACGCTTCATAGAAAGCCCTGGCCTCTTTTCGGTTTCTGAATGACATCCCAGGCCTAGGAATGAGGGCAGGATCAATGTCTTCTTTCTGCATACAACATATGCAATTAGATATTTCCATTTTCCACCAAGAGGCAATGCAAAATTGCTCGAATTTTTATCTCAGTCAAAATAGATTACAGTGAATTTCAGCCTATATAAGACCTCAACATGTCTGGTTCCTCAATCTAAATATTGTAAGCATGCACATTACAGCTTATGTCAAGTTTGTACATTTACTTTTTTCATTATTTCTCAAGTCTGAATACTTCTCAGCTCTATTTTCTGAATCCCATCATCACAACTTTGATCATTTGGTAATTTTGAAACCTAATTTTATTTCATATTCACATAGCATAATCTTGAACTTCTTATTCAAATGTCACAAACAAGCTACTCACATGTGTGTACTTCTTTTCGGCATCTGGTGTAGCGTTCTCGCTTTCTGTAACTATTGCCATTGGTGAGAACATGCCTCTGCTGGATGATGTTCCGGCTTCTGAAATGCCAGCCACAACATCCTCGTTACGGCCTGGTGTGCACGATGATGTTCCACCTTCTGAAATGCATGCCGGTAACCCATCGTGATCTTGTTCTGATCTTCCATCTGCCACAGCCACATTAGTTGTGTGCATTGTCTGCGATGCTGACGATTCAGTCACAACCCCTTTACAATTGCTCTTCTCTCCAAACAGCTGCTTCCGGCAACCCATTCTGATTTAATAACTTTACTGACTAGTGGCGAAGCTTCGATTCATTCAAATAATCATTAATCTGAGAAACATCACAGAAACATTTAAGGATTACTGCATAGCCATAAATAAAGGCTATGTGAAACATAAAACAAGCACACATTATTACTTCTGATCCCATCCACTACAAGTGAAGAAGTGAAGACATCACCCGCAGAAGCATTGCTCCACAAGATAAAATTCATCTCGTTCACTCAGCTTGTTTAATTTGGTCACAAATCGTGCCAGGTAGGTCATTAAAAATGATGTACCAAAGAAATCTCAGCTTTCTATGAAGATGATCATGTATCATGAACAGTTAACACCAACTTTGGAACTACTAAACATCAATAATGTTTAACTTATAATTCATCTTGAAGTAACATCCAGTAACCATTCAAATATGATACGACTATAGGACCTTCAAGCTGACATAAATGGGAAATAAGTATGCAAGAATAATTCAGTAAGCCAAGGATACTTTATACATACTATAGAAAATCGTGAAAGATAAACATAGTTACTGAATTAAAGTACATTCTTTTACTCATATAAATGGATCAACTGCAAGTCCGGAACCATCGTTACTGACTTGCAAAAACTCGATACAGAACAACAGCTATATGTGTTTACGTATAGCTGTTCGGAGCACCTGTATCCAATAATGGAACAGCAACAGAAAATGGCAGTAGTCCTACTACTGCAGAGGAAACACCTGCGCCTGAATTGGATTCATCAAGTAAAAGGAGTGCCCGTGAAGCAGTTACTCCCCTTGACCATATGACTTACATTGATCAGCTAGAACACAAAATACAATCGATGGCACAGATACTGAAGAATCTTGTAAGGCCGATTTTCATGTCCTTGTATTGTTCTAAACACTGATAAACAATGGCTTTACAGAAATTTCTAATCTCTCTTTTACTGTTCTAATCTAATGTAGACTCGCAATATACACGCGCCGCTTCTCGTGAGCTCGCGCGTTTCACGCGCCGCCGCCCGTCCGAGGTGCCCCCCAATAGTGGCCTCGTCGGTGCCGTGGCGGGGTGTCGCCGGTGTACGGGCTGCTCGGCGGTCTCTCCTCGCTCGTGGGACAGGGAACGCGGTCAGCGACGGTTCCGAACGTGGGACAGGGAACGCGGTCTTCATTCGTGCGTGCGGACAGGAGGTACTCAAGGGCCGATGCTTGGCTTCGGACTTTCGGGCCAGAAACACAGGCGTAAGTAGGCAACAGGCACGAAAAAAATATCAACGAGCATCGCTTAGGCGGGCCGCGGGCGATCGTGCGTCGTCTGCGGGCGTGGGGATGACCTCGGGTACTGAATAATAATCAGTACCCTAGGTGCTAACTAGCGCAGTCATATATATATATATATATATATATATATATATATATATATAATCGTAAACATTTGCCTAGTCCAGTGGTGGAGTCGCTGCTGTCACAGTGTCACGCCTCGTGGCCAGGGCTCTGGTTCCCATTTTTGCCGGTCGGACCGTAGTCCGTATGTCCGTTCCTATCATCGTGGCTACCGGCGCTGCGAGGCGAGGCGAGACCGTGCGCGTCGTCCGTTGCGCGCGAGGGGGCGATGCACGGGCGGCCGGTTCGGCGCGGCGCGTGTTAACAGCCCGTTGCACGGTGCCGGCATAGTGGAAGATAAACACTCCATCTCACTCGGAAGCCTCGGAGTCGGAGTCCACCTCTCGCATGCAGGCTGAAAGCCCCAAATCCACACTGATGGAATCATGGAACAGTCAGGAACTTGGAACACAATGCAAGCATTTCTGAGATCAAACTGACACACCACTCTTTTCTTCTCATTTTCCTTTCTTCACAACACAATGGCACCATGGAAGTTATACAGCACAACACACTCTAGAGAGGGTAAGACAACTATTACAGCTTATATTACTGCACACACGCCAGCGGGGGAACGAAGAAAACGAAAGAATATTATTGTGACGAGATCTACATGCTGTGTACTGTAACTCTGACGGACCAACCACACCGCAGGCACCCCTGCTACATACCCGGGGTGCCTGTCTGGCCTGGCCTGGCCTCCGCGAGCCTCTGTCTGGTCTGGAGCCTCTCTTCAGAAAAAAGCTCATCCAGTCTTACGCCCACCTGTACAACGCCCACGGGGTATCGTCTAAAATCTTTTTAGCTACAACAATGTGAGTGGAGCGGCATCATATCAGTCACCGCAAGGAGTTCTTCAGCGACCGAACCGTCATCACGAGCTGCTGCCGCTCGCCTTCCACCTCTGCGAACTTCAGGCTAATCTCTGAGTACCGGTCGTGCAGCTCCTTCAGCTCCTCCTCCATCGCCTCGTTCCTCTCCTTCAGTGAGGCAAGCTCCTTTGCTGACTGGTCGGCGGCATTCCTGACACAGATGAGTCGTTGCCAGAAGCAAGAAATGTCAGTCAGATGGCCGTGGTTCATGTGTTTCTGAACTTAAAAGGTGTAGTATGTGTCAGCTGAGTTTAAATGATTGATGTACCTCATGTCATGCCCGTTGCAGTCACCGTCTCCACCCTGTCTGTTGGTGCCTGGCAGTGCAGTAGTGCTCCCAGTGGAGCCGGTATTGTGCTTGATGCGCTTATTATTAGTATGCTGATTGTCCTGCAAAAACAGCACTTTGTGTTACTTTCTGTGCACCAAAGTGTATTATTACAATCTAGTAAGCAGTCCTATGTAAAGGTCGCTCAATGATGTAAAGCAATATAACATGTTCTCATCAGTGGGGCCCTGTATGCAATAAAGCTATTCCATGAGCTATGATGATATGGGAGCAGGTGGATAGAACTAAAGAAAATTTTGTCCTCCCATGTGCAAAGAGACAGAAATCATGACATTTTTTCACAGACATGTGCTCATACTTTTTTTGATGCCTTGTATGACCAATTGCTCATTCTACCGACTTATATGGATAGAAAAAGAAAGTTACAGCTACTGGTTCAGATGGCAATCAGGAAGCAAAAGTTGCAAGAGTTTATGTTTCCATTTTTAGATGGCTTTTGCGCAAATAATGTTTTTGAGCATTGCAGTTATTAACATCTACATTATCACAAGACTTCGGTTATTGATATGCCAAAAGAGAAGAATAGAAAAGTATCTCAGTACACAAACCAATTAAAAGGAGAACTGTCTGCACTGAACTGGAAACATATTTGCATTGCAGAATTTACCTTGACATCTGAATTTTGACCATTTTCCTTTGTCCCTTCCCGGGTTTCAAGGGATCTTCTCAGCTTCAGCACCTGAGAAGCAAGGCTGTCTTTCTCAGACTCCTTCTTGGACAGCAAAGTTTTCAAGTTGTCGCACTGGAGTTTCAGTGACCCAATATCTATTTGCAGCTTTCCAATTGTCTCCTCTTTCTCGTTCTTCAAACGTTTTAAATTGTGTAGTTCGTCCAAATGCATCTTCACTTGGTCCTTGAGAGATACAAGCTCTTTATTTAGTGAAGTAATCTCAGCACTTTTGTCTTGCAATTGCATGTCCTTTTCACTAATTCCAGCTAATTCCTTATCTTTCTGCTCATTCTTTTCAAAGAGGTCATTTCTCTCACTGGATAGCTTGTCAATCTTGGCATTGAGTAGGTCGATTTCTTCTGACAGAGCATTCAGCCTTGCTTCATCGCATCTTTTTTGGTTATGGAACTCCTCACTCTTGCTTTTTAGCTCCATCAGTAGCCTGTCTATCTCCTTTGACTTGAAATCCACTAGGGTTATTAACTGTTGGACCTTCACCCGGTGCTGATCCTGAACTGATCCAAGATCACCTTGGGCCTTCTGCAGTAACTCTTCTAACTGGCTCTTCTGCAGCTGCAGCTCCGCAACCTCTTTTCTTGCTTGCACAAGGTGTCGTTCATTTGCACTGAAAGCAGAAGATACTTGTGAAGACAACACCTTGAACTCCTCCTGAAGTCGTTCTGCAGTAGTTGCATTATTCCATCTTATCTTCCTCAGAGAATCCTCAGCCTTAATGGCCCGTTGCTCTTGTTCCACCCTTGCACTCATTAATTCTGCTATGTCAGCCTCAAACTTTTTAGCCTGTGTCTGGAGTTCATTATCCAAGCTCTCAACATTGGCCTCAAGATCACTTATAATAGCCAAATGAGCTGAACACTCATATTGCATCCTTAGCTGCTCCCTCAGTTGTGTTTGCTCCAGCCTTGTAGATATGTCATGGTTCTCTTGCTTTAGAATCTCATAATCAAGTGCAAGTTGCTCCATTTGCATCTCAATATCCTCACGATCTTTCTTGTACAACTCAATTTCATTGCTCAACTCAAGGATTTTCTTTTCAAGCTCAGAGGTAGAGATGTCATCACGCTTCTTTGCTAGTGCATCCAGCATAAGCTCATCTTCCTTCTCTTGGTATGAACTCGTTTCAGATAAGGCTATTTTGTGTCCAGAATTGTGCACATTTGACAGTGCATGCTCATATTCTGCCTCCTGCGGATCATCCCGTGTATCCTCTTGCAAAATAGAAATCTCTCTGTTCTTTTGCTCCAACATCTCATCAAGATCTTTCACAGCCAGAAGCAGCTCAGAGTTGGATTCCTGCATCTTTTGCAGTTGTAGACGAAGATCTGCATTTAGATTCTTCTCATGACTCAGATCTTGCTTCAGTTCTTCAATCTGTGACCATGGGTCATCCCCATCTGAGACTGAGAGCCGTTTCCCTGAGCCATTTGAATCATGGATCGTCTTCTTTGCCCCTCTGAGTCCTTCACATTCTCTTCTGAGTGCATCCCTCTCCTCCCTTAGGCTACTCATCTCCTTGGAGAGGTCTTGCCCACGCCGACTCTCCTTCACAATTTGCTTTCGGAGAGTCTGCAACTCCATATCTGAGACATCCAATTTCCTGGTTAAAGTGGCTACCTCACTTCTTAGCTTCTCCACGTCATCATCTTCCCCTCTTAACCCTGCCTCACCAGAATTGCTCGTTGACCCATCAGTACTAGCATCAGGAGCTGAGCTTCCTGACCAGTCACCGGAACTGGTCAATGGGTTCCTCACGGTGCCATTGTTGGCAAATGGTGACAGAGCATTGCTACTATCCTGAAGAAATGAGTTGTGCATGCTTGCGCTAATCTTGGGGGTATATCTCCCAGAACTTCCATCTGAACCAGACACCGAGACGGCATCGAAACTGCTGCCATTGTGGAGATGGCCCACAGGGTCAACAGACATAGGCACATTTCTTCTTGATGGAAACCTCATGCCTGGAGGTTTTCTTATCAACAATCCATCCTGTACATTTGTACAAGGGAGATATCAACCATCAGGAGAACACAAAAAAATCAAATCACATCTAGCATGCATTGTTTAGTTCTAAAATGTTCCCATCTACAGTCTACAGGCATGAGAAAATCAGATCTCAAACAAAAAGTGACATACAGCTTATTATCATTCAGATATAACTTAGGCTCCCTTTGCCCCTTTTTATTTTGCAGTGCTCTTTGTATGCCAAAAGCCCTCTTTCTTAGCAATCACAAGATGAAACAAAGCAACCCAATGATGATGAATAGAATTATCGAAACGAGGAAAAGCTCTAAAGAATTCCCCCAAAGACACTTACTTGGACAGGACTCATCGCATCCGTGGCCGCTCTAGCCTTCTCGCCGTCCTCGTCCTCAAACCGGCTCAACTGGTTCTGCAGCGTGGTTCTCTGTGGCGTCTTTGCCACCGGCGAGGCGTCACCGTTCTCGCTGTTGCCACCGGGAGGACAACAATCAGTAACCAAGCAATGCCCCAACCAAGCGAATGCTTAAGACCCAAACCACAATGCAGTAGCAATGACTATAAATCTGGTTGAGATGGCCCAATCCCTAAGGCTCAAATAACAATGCAGCGGCGGCAATGGCTAAATCTGGCTGTGGCGAGACTATCCTTAAAGCTCAAACAAACAACAATGAGCCAGAGATGTGTGCGTAGATTAATACACCACCCAACGCACCTCGCGTCGTCTCCGCACCCACCGGCGTCACCCACCACCCGCTGGATGGTCACCTGTCACAGGAAGCGAAGCACCAGCTAAACATCAAAATCAGATGAGATAACCGCGAGCACGTCGCCGTCGCAGGTCACAAGAAAACGGCACGACCCTTTAAGGGATGCGAGGGTGGGGAGGGGGGAGAGAGAGCAGAGATGGTGATGCTCACGTGAAGCAGCGCGCCGGGGCTGCCCTTGAGCGGGAGCGTCACCGCCGACGGCTTCAACGCGTCGGCGTACTCCGCCAGGTTCACCGTGGCCTCCCCCAGCAGCGCCGCCTTGCTCGACCCCTGCACCGACAGCATTGCCCGAGTCAAGATCGATACCGGAATCACCGCCGTCGGTTAATCACGAATTACTTAAGCGGCGGGCGGCGGCGGCAGGTCGCTCACGGTCTCGTAGACGAGGAACTGGTAGATCTTGTCCTTGCCGGCGGGGAGCTTGGTGGCCTCCATGATAGGGGCCGCCCACCGGCACGCGCCGTCGGTGACCTCCGTGGGCTCCGACCGCGCCGTCGGCCGGCCGGCGTCCTGCGGCGTCACCACCACCATCATTGCCTCCCATCCCAGCTCGGGCACCTGCGGCAAGAACCACCCACCCTCCCCTCAGGCGTCAATCAACAACAAAACAAAATCCGAAGTTCTGCCCCTGCTTCAGGGCTGCGGAGCGACTGAGCCGTGCGTGCCTGCGTGGCGTGGAACTGCAGCTTGAACACGGCCTTGGCCTTGCCGCCGCCGCCGCGCCACCGCGACTTGAACATGTCGGTGGCGCCGCGCTAGGTCGCGCTCGCTCCCGGAACAGAAACTCTGCAAGAACGACCTCCGCTCCGCTCCCCTTCGCCTCGCCCGCTGCCGCTGGGTTAGCTAGCTACTCCTCCACGGGAGCGTCCACCGGTGGCGGCATTGCAATGCCGCGCGCGGAAGAAGCCACCGGGCCGCGTGACGCCACCAGGGTCGGTGGTGTGAGGTGCTGGTGGTGGTTAGTTGGAGCGCGAAGACCACCACCACCGCCACATGGTGGCAGAGCAAGCATAGAACGTGAGAGGGAAGCAGGCGAGTGAGGCCACTGCAGCTGCAAGCGAAGCGAGCACCGAGCAGGCAGGCTTTGGGCAAAGGCACGCACGCAAGCAGCAACGAGGTCGAGGCAGTGACACTAGTAGATCTAGTGAGAGAGAGAGAGAGAGAGGCGAGAACAGAACAGAGCTCAACTTATTTAGATGCTGTAAAGTTTCGGGACGTCACGTTTAAATGTTACGTTAGGATGCTGTTTGCATATTAATAAAAAAAATAAATTATAGAATCCATCCATAAACCATAGGATGGATTTATTAAGTCTAATTAACTCATCATTAACACATGTGTACTGTAGCACTTTATTGTCAAATTATAAACTAATTAATCTTAAAAGATTTGTCTCGTAAATTAGTAGTAAACTGTGTAATTAGTTATTTTTTAGTCTATATTTAATACTTCGTGTATGTATTTAAATATTCGGTGTGACATGACGTAAAGTTCTAGATGGAAAATAGACGAGGGCTCAACGGAACTTTCTCTGCCTCTACCGCTCTGCTTTTCCTGTCTCTTGGTGCTCCCTCACGCTCTTTCTCTCTCTGATTTGGGGGTTTAAGTGGGCTAGAGAGAGAGAGAGGAAAATGTAGTGAGAGAAGGTTGTGATGGAGAGGAGAGGCTATAAAACGGAGGTCAATTGTTTGGGGAAAAGAGAAATCGAATTGATTTCTTGGGTACTCCTGCAGGCGTAGTACAGCTGGGGAGGAGGGCGATTGGGGTCTGGTGGAGAAGTGATGGATTATAAAATCTGAGCCTCCGTCTGCTGCGGCCTTGCTGGGAGTGTTCCGCTGGCATTAATGGGGTACTGTAGCAGCTGGTTTTTATTGTAGCAGCTGGAAAAAATAGCGAGAGAAAAATACTGTTGCTGCCTGCTGGAGCGTGTAGTAGCTACTGTGCCGCGCCATTGCTTGAGCCTCACAACTGCAGCGACCGGCTGCATGTGGGCCTGGGGATGGCAGTTGCTCCTCTGCCTGCTGGATGCTGGATATTCCTATTTATTTTATTATTTATTGGAGTTATGCGTCACTGCATGTTGGATACAGTACTTGGATGAGAAAATTCCTTCGTTGCCACTTAAAACTATAACCATCCCTTCATTACCATCCAAAAATATATTATCCCTTGATTACCATCCATTTAGATTTTTTCTTCCCTTGGTTGCCATTCCCGTCCATTCATACGTAACGACGTCAACTACCCAGTCAATCGGCTGTAGGCACCACCGTTAGTCCCCGACCCCTCACGAATCGGAGCCGACGGCAGGGAAATCTGCGCCCGCGGCATCACGTTCGGTGCCACGCGGAGGCTCCTGACAACGAGGGCGGCAAAGGAATCGCCGGACCCGCACACGCATCGGGATCGCCCTGGCTGCGCTGAGCCAAAGATGGCAATGCGCTAGAAAAAGCCGCAGCGCGATAAGTCCGCTTAGGTTGCTCCGAAACCCACAATGAGCCACCGCCGGTGATGTCGCGGCCGCCGCCGCCGTCTATCTCACCGCGTCCGACGACGCCCATGATTCGCGAGGGCCTTTGGCCGCCGCCGCCACCACCGTATGCGTCCTCATCGTGGGTCCGTAGACGCTCGCTCGTGGGAAGATGCATGCCGCCTCGCCGTCGACCACAGGAGCTCCCAGCGCCGCCTCTGCTGGCCGCGAGCACTGCATGTGACCACCCTCGTGTTGCCCCGGCCGAGAAGCCGCCGTCGCTTTTTCGCGGCTTGTACCTCCCTCGGACGTCGCCTCGCGCGTCCTTGCGTGCCGCCATTGGGGTTGTTTGCGTCGCCTCGCGCACTTCAAGGCGATCTCTGCGCTGTCAGACGCTGTAATCCGGCGCGCGCAGCCCGTGTCCGCCACGGCCAACTCCTCCGCATCCCCCAAGCGCCTGCTGCAGCCACGCGCCGAAGAAGAATCGTGCGCCGCTGCATGGCCTCGGGCTCCATAGCGCCTCCGCGTCTCCGCGAAGCCAAGACCGCTGTCGCGGCCCCACCGGCTCATGACCTCGCGCCACCTCACTGGCGCGCGGCCACTTGCTCGACTCCCACCGTGGCGGCGGCTCCACGGTGTTGGGCGTGGGGAGAAGAGAGAGGCGTGGCGGATCATGATCGCGCGCTAAGCCCGTCGACGACCACAGAGCTCCCAGCCGCCGGTGCCGCCGACCTTCACCGTGTAGATCACGCCTGGGCAGGGTGCCGCCGGCCTGGGCCATCCTCGCCTCGCCGGTGAACGCGGCGGGAGGCGCAAAGACGAGCTCCACTGGTCACTTTGAGCCGCCACTTGCTGGCCGGGCGAAAGTGAAAGCTCTAGTTTGGTTTTAGTGAATTGATGAAACCCTAAGTGCTAACCTAGTTTATCAAGTGATCATGAGATAGGTAACACACTCCAAGTGGTGAAGCAAATGAAGATCATAACATGATAAAGATGATGGCATGGTGATGATCAAGTGCTTCGACTTGGAAAGAAGAAAGAGAAAACAAAAGCTCAAGGCAAAGGTATAATTTGTAAGAGCTATTTTGTTTTAGTGATCAAGACACTAGAGAGTGTGATCACATTTAGGATTGATAGCCGTACTATTAAGAGGGTGAAACTCGTGATCGAAATGCGGTTATCAAAGTGCCACTAGATGCTCTAACTCATTGCATATGCATTTAGGATCTAGTGGAGTGCTAACACCCTTGATAATATTTGTGTAAATATGCTACCACATGTGCACAAGGTGTTTGTAGGGTTGAGATGGGTTTGGGTCCCTCTCTCCCTCCCGCCGAGCTTTATGGGCGGATTCAACGCTTTCGGGAAAATGAAATGTCTATTTTCTATTGCGTCGGATGCAAAATTCTTCGTGGTTGGCACACTTGAGCAAGGGTGAAGAAGTAAGAGTTGAAATGGAGTTGATCGAAATGATCTTTGGCGTCGGTCGATGGACGACCGATATTATTCTTTCTCGTCATACGTGACTTCGTGATGCTGGTTGGCTAAGGTTGAGCACGGACGACTGGTTGCGTCGGTCAAGGTGTGGACGGACGCGTCCGGTCGAAAAATCATGCCTCGGGAGCTTCTTGGGAAACGACCGGACGCTGGGGCTTCGGCGTCCGGCCGCTTTCTCGGAGCGTCCGGTCGGCTCCAGCAGCCTGTTGAAATCGATTTAACAGCAGCGTTTGAAGTCGGTGACGCGTGGCGTCCATCGGGCGACCGGACGCCGAGGGCCGGCGTCCGGTCGATATGATGGATCGAGCGTCCGGTCGAGCTGCGTTTTGCCCAAAGTGAAGGGTATAACGGCTCTATTTGATTGGGGCTCTATTTATAGCCCCATGGCGGCTCAAGGGCGCTTTTGCACATTTTCATTGGCATAGTAACCTTGTGAGCTTAGCCAAAGCCCTCCCACTCATCTACATCATTGATTCATCATCATAGTGAGATTGGGAGTGAATCCAAGTGCATTGCTTGAGTGATTGCATCTAGAGGCACTTGGTGATTGTGTTTCATCATGGATTTCGCTTGTGACTCTTGGTGGTTGCCGCCACCTAGGCGGCTTGGAGCAAGCAAGGATCGTTGAGTGGAGGAGGTGATTGTCTCCGACTCCGATCGTGGTGATTGTGAGGGTTCTTGACCTTTTCTCGGAGGGCCAAAAGGTACTCTAGTAAATTGCTTGTGGCTTGTGTGATCCTCATCTTGTGTTGGTTGTGCGGCACCCTATTGAGGGTTTGGCGAGTGATGCCAATCCGCACGTGAACCTCCAAGTGAGTGAATCACCACAACGAGGACTAGCTTGTCGGCAAGCAAGTGAACCTCGGTAAAAATCATTGTGTTCATCATTTGATTCCAAGGTGATTGGTATACATTGGTATTCATTATTGTGATTGATTGGTTCCTACCACTACACAAGCAGTATAACTCTCTTGCTCACTCTTACATTACAATAAACTAGTTATCAAGCTCTTTAGTGTAGCTAGTTGTGAGAGCTTGTTTGTTTGATTAGTGTTGCTCTTTAGTTAGTCTTTGAGAGCACACTAATTTAGCTAAGTGTCATAGCTATTGTGTGGATATACACTATTCAAGTAGAATTGTGGTAGGTGGCTTGCATTTTTGAGTAGGCTAGCGCAACACTCGCTTCGTCACGCAATAAAATTGTCTAACACATTTTGTTAAGTGTTGTTGTAGAATTTTATTAGGCTATTCACCCCCCTCTAGCCATTAGGACCTTTCAATGAGCTCGACCTCATTGCAAGGGCACATAGCCACCACACAAGGAGGGGAAGGTGAGAAGATGGTGGGAGGAAGGGGATGATCGTGTAGGCCCGCATGTCATTGAGTGGGGGAGAGGGAATTTGACACCGTGATCCAGAAAATTGACAGAATGGCAACCAGGGGAAGCAGAAACATAAACGAATGGCAATGAAGGAAAGGGGTATTTTTGGATGGCAATTAAAGGATGGCTATAAGTTACAATGGCAACCAAGGAATTTTCTCTACTTGGATTTGGATCCATGGAGAT